TAGATGGAATAAGGGGTCCCTGAGAACTAGAGAGATAAATTGGTAAAATTTTAAATGTCTCTATTTGTAAAGGGGTCGGAATAGAAGTATACTGTGGAAAGTGAAGTCCACAGAGAAACAGCGTGAACCAGGGAAGTTGGTGTCTAAGAGGGTCTCCCCTCACCCTTCTGTCTCCCAAAGTGACGCTCGCCCGTACTGCGCAGGCGCCGTCCCCCCCCCCCCCACTCCGGCCGCAGCCTCCAGTCGCCGCGGCCGCCGCAGCCCCCGCCCCTCTGCCCCTCCCCCTCCCCAACCCAGGGACCCTTGATATCCCACCCAACCCCTTCCCTCAGTCCCCCTTCCCTTCTACATGTCGGCTCGGAACAGATTCGCCTCCATGTGTCTCTGCGTGGTACGTGCCGCGGTATGGGCTCCGGCCCCGCTCCCCTCTTCCCGGACCCCCGCAAAATATCAGGGTGCAAGCTTCAAGTGCTGTCGTTCTTTCTTCTGCTTGGTGCGGGGTCTCTGGGTTGCAACTTCTTGGGGACAGGCGCCGTGGGTCGCCCCTCTTATCATTCACTTTGATTCACACCCCTATGTTTTGGGGGTGCAAGCCTCAATTCCAGGTCATTCTGTGCAACTGGGGCTCTGGTGAGGAGGGGGCCAAAGGGGAAAGAACAGCAGCGACTCCGTCGGTGTCCCCCACTCCCCAGGCCTTTTACTTGTTTTAAACCCTAATATATTGGGGGTGCAGACATGTCCCAGTAGCATCTGAGTTGTCGTTGGTTAGGGGCCCGAATCCCAGCAGGATAAAGGGTGGGGGTCCTCCTTTCCCATCCTGCTTTAGTTGCCCTGTGATCCAGGACTGAGAGGTGCTGATCCCTACCTTCCCAGCCCCCCAGTTTGCAGTTTCAGAATTACTCCTTCCACCCCTACCCCCACCCCTCCAGACGTTTCTCTCCCCCACCCCCCACATGTACGTGGAAAATTTCCAGGGACTGAACCCAGTCCCTAACCTCTTCCAGCCACATTCTGGAAACCCTGGGACCCATTTCTTGTTCCCCATGTTCCCCATGTTGCCTCCCAATCCTGAGGAGCCTCTTCCTCAGTGCCAGATACCACCCTCCCTCCGTGGGGGTGGGAGAGGGAGAGGTATAGGGTATCACCGAGAAAAAAGTTTACCTTCATTTCCTCCCTAGAATAAATGATGAAATGTCCCTCCTCATGTTTGCATTTTCTGTGGGTGCACCCTGACATTTCCTCATCAGATTCAGGAATTTTCTCTATGAGGTGGAGTGAAGACGGAGGGGCATTGGACTCAAACCCTCCCCCAGACTCCAAACCTTGGAGCTTTGGCCCTGTCTAATTTACCTTGCAGGAAATTAGAGGCCTTGTGAAGTGAGAGTAGAGAGCGGAGAGCGGCTTTCACCCACTCCCCCAGGAATCCCCAATTCTGGGGGTCGTCCCTCAGCTTGTGCACTGCCCAGGTAGAAGATCACCTTCTCAGGATACGGAATGAACAGTCTCTGTCGGTTCATAGAACTTCTTTATTCAAGACAGCTCAGCCTTGAGGGAGGGCTGTTTTTGTGTGTTCTTCTCCTATTTGCCTTCTCTACTTTTTGTGCCCGTGGTATTGAAACCTGGAGTTCAGGATTTTCTCTCCAAATCTGTGGTCCAGAGAATAGACTTGATCTCACTGAGCCCCTGTGCCCGTTTTCCTTCTTTAAGGCTTTTTTTTTTTTGGAGATGGAGTCTTGCTCTGTCACCAGGCTGCAATGTAGTGGCACAATTTCAGCTCACTGCAACCTCCGCCTCCTGGGTTCAAATGATTCTCCTGCCTCAGCCTCCTGAGTAGCTGGGATTACAGGCACGCGCCACCATGCCCAGCTAATTTTTGTATTTTTAGTAGAGACGGGGTTTCACCATGTTGGCCAGGATGGTCTCGATCGCCTCACCTCATGATCCACCCACCTCGGCCTCCCAAAGTGCTGGGATTACAGGCGTGAGCCACCGAGCCCAGCAAAGGCTCTTTAAATGCCTTAGGGTGCATCTTGATTCAAGGTGTCTCTGTGTCCTGGGTTTGAGAGTTTTCGTGTTGTCAGGCTCACTTCCTTCTCTTGTTCTCTTACTGTACTCTTAGTCTACAGCCAAAGTTGTGTTATATTCTCAGCCTTGATTCATCATCCTTAATATTTTCAGAATCATACTCTAGGACTGGCCATTGACCTTCAGAAGCTTCCTCCCGTTTGATCTTGGAGCTGTTGCTCTTTAAATATTAGGGCACTCTTATTCTCCAAAAAGTTTTGGGAGGGAAATTCTGCGCTTGCTCTCTCTCTCTCTTTTTTTTTTTTTGTTTTTGAGACGTAGTCTTTTTCTGTTGCCCAGGCTGGAGTGCAGTAGTGTGATCTTGGTTCGCTGCAACCTCTGTTTTCTGGGTTCAAGCGACTCTCTTGCCTCAGCCTCCCATGTAGCTGGGATTACAGCTTCGCGCCACCATGCCCACCTAATTTTTGCATTTGTAGTAGAGATGGTGTTTCACCATGTTGGCCAGGCTGGTCTCTGACCTCAGGTGATTTACCCACCTTGGCCTCCCAAAGTGCTGGGATTACAGGCATCAGCCACTGCGCCCAGCCTCTCTCTCTTTTTGAGATAGGGTCTTACTCTGTCACCCAGGCTGGAGTGCAGTGGTGTGATCATGGCTTACTGCAGCCTCCACCTCTTGGGCTCAAGCAGTCCTCCCACCTCAGCCTCCCTAGTAGTTGGGAACACAGGTGTACTCCACCATGCCCAGCTAATTTTTTTATTTTTATTATTTTTATTTTTTTGAGATGGAGTCTTGAACTGTTGCCTGGGCTAGAATGCAGTGATGCAATCTCCGCTCACTGCAACCTCTGCCTCCTGGGTTCAAGCGATTCTCCTGCCTTAGCCTCCCAAATAGCCAGAATTACAGGTGCTTGCCACCATGCCTGGCAAATTTTTTGTATTTTTAGTAGAGACCGGGTTTCATTATGTTGGCCAGGCTGGTCTTGAACTCCTGACCATGTGATCTGCTGGCATCGGCCTCCTAAATTGCTGGGATTACAGGTGTGAGCCACCACACCTGGCCATTTTTGTATTTTTTTGTGGAGGGGGTTTCACCATGTTGCCCAGGCTGGTCTCCAACTCCTGGGCTCAAGCAGTCTGCCCACCTCAGCCTCCCCAAGTGCTGGGATTACTATGCCTTCTCTTTTTACCCATGTGTACTGGGGGTGCATTCTGTCTTCTTCAGTGTCTGAGGGAGCCCTGCATATGGTACCTTCCTCTTTCTGAACCTGGAGCTTGGAGGGTCTGTCTCTGTGGAGGCCCTTTCCAGAGGCAAGGAGCAGACGAGGGCGGAGGCAGAGGTGGAAGGACTCAGGCAGATCGCTGTCTTCTTCTGTCTCCATCTGCCCTTTTCCTCCTTCTCTGGCCCCCAGTTAATCTCATTTTGCTGTTGTCCCTATTAAGCTAGCACAGGAAGCCCTTGGGATGGCAGCTGATTAACTGGGCAGGGTGTCAGGGGTCATGTGGGGCCTTTGACCCCGAAAGACCAGAGGAAGACCAGGAATTCACTCTGAGGCTCGGCATGCTCCCCTCTTCCCCACCCAGGGAGGCTGGCACTCATTCTTGCCCCTGTCCTGAGCCTTGCTGTCTCTGTTCTTCCCTTTCCTCCCCCCTTCTAGCATATCCGGATTAGCTGGCTGGGCTGTGGGCTATTGTAAGGGTAGGGCCAGCCTCCAGGTCCTCTCTGTTGACTGCTTGGAAACCAGCAAGGGCAGTGAAGGAAGAACTGGACAGGCTTAGCCTTGTCCTGCCTTGGGGGCTGATACCAAGTACCTGCTGCTCGAAGCGGCTGACTTCAGTCCTTCTCTAGGGAGTGCAAGGTGCAGGAGAGCTGATTGCCCATGGGGTCGCGGCTGCAATGGGTAGACTGAGGCCATCGAGGTGGGGTATGAGGGGATGCCGTGCAGAGTAGGATCAGCCGGAGGGGGAGGGGAGGGGAAGCTGGAACAAGAGTGAGCCTGAGATGGTGAGAGAAGCCAGGAAGTTGGGGACGGGATGCAGAGAATGGAGGTGTAAGGGTCAGGGGCTAGAGCTCTGCTGCGGAGGGGTTTGAAGGTGACGGTGGGGGAGATAGGGGTGAAGACACAGATGCCAGAGGGGCTATGACTGCCAGCAGGCCAGTGTCCCTGCATGTGAGGAGTAGGGTTTGGGGGATGGGATTGGGACCTGGGGAGAGATGAGAGGTGCTGAGGCCCTGGCGGGAGAGAGAGTGGAGAGAGGGTAGCCAATGGGCTAGAGGCGAGGGAGGGGGAGGAGCTGGTCAGGCCCTAGGGCCTCCCGCACTGCACTGGCTGGGGGAAGAGGAGGCGGCCAGGGCGGCCAGCCTGGAGCCTTGAGGCACTGGTGACGCTTCCGTCCCCATCCCCAGAAATACCGCTACCAAGATGAAGACACGCCCCCTCTGGAGCACAGCCCGGCCCACCTCCCCAACCAGGTAAACGCCCCCGAGCTGGTGCACGTGGCGGAGAGGAACTTGTCCCACCTCGAGGCTGGCCACGGGGTCGTGGGCCACGCCCACCTCTCCCCTTTCAAGGTAGGAGACCCTGGCGGCCCCCTCCCCAGTGCGGCCCTCGGAGCCTCGGAGCTGCAGCAATCCCCAAGGGCCGGTAGGGTGAGAGAGAGCCGTGGGGGTGGGGGATGCTGGGATTGGGGGGTGAGGGTTTGGGCTTGGACTCCTGGGGCCTGGGGGAGGGGGCGTTTGGGGGGCTGGAAACACCTTGGTCCCACAGCGGAGAAATAGGCCAGGCCAGTGGGAGTGGATGTGGAGCCTAAGCAAGAATGTGTGCACGCGTGCCTGTGCGTGTGTGCGTGCCGTTGTATTTGTGCGCGTGCCTGTGCATGGGCGTGCGCTGTGTGCGTGTGTGCCTGTCCGTGTGCGCGCTGTATGCGTGCGTGTGCATGTGCCTGTGCGTGTGTGTGCGTTCGCTGTTTGCCTGTGTGTGCCTGTGCGTGTGTGTGTGCGCGCTGTATGCCTGTGTGTTGAGACGTGTGCATCCCCCAAAAGGCCCCCCACGCCTGGGACCTCTTCATTCCTTCACACCCCCAACCTCCGTTTCCATTTTCTCTGTCCACAGTTCTGTTCCAAGCGCCTGCTGCCCTCATTTGCTCCTGTGCCTTCCCCGCCTCCTCCCCCTACCTCCGCCTCTGGGCCTGGCTCGCCCTGTCCCGTAGTCTCCAGCCCTTTCCATCTGTCTGGCCTGAGACTTTACATGGTGGGGCCTTGCTGCCTCGTCCCCTGCCCTAGCCTTTGCTCTAGCCTTTGCTCGACTCCTGAGCTCTCTTCCCCCCCTCTGCAGCCTTTCCTCCCTGCTAGCTGGCTGGCTGGCTCTTGATGCTGTCTCTCTCTTCCTCCCACGCATTCTCCTCTCCCTCTCCCTGATCCCCAGCTCAGGCCGCTGCGGCCTGATCAGTCCTATCCCTCATCAGTCCTCTGCCTCCGTCAGCCAGCTCCCCTTTCCCATGTTCCCTCTTGCCTTTTCGTCTTCACGTTCTCTCTCTCTTCCTCCTCCCCTCTCATCCTCTTGGGTTCTCGCCTCTGCCGTATCTTCTTTCTGTCCCTGTCTGTTCCCTCCATCATCCGTCACCACCTGTTTCCTTTTCTCCTCTGGGCTCACAGGGTCTTCCCCTCTCCAGCCCCTGGAGGCCTGGTTTCTGGGACCTTCCATTCTCCAGTCCCTTTTCCATCTTTCCCTCCCTCCATCTCCTCTTCTGGGGACACAGGATGGGGAGGAATGGAGCGCACCAGGCAAGCTGTGAGATTGAGGGGACACCGTGGGGTCAGGGTGGGGATTCTAGGATGTTGTGGCATGTCCTGGGAAGGGGGAGGTTGCTAACTTGCTGACATTTCACCAAGAAGATGAGGAGGAGGTATCTGAGCCTAGGGAGCAGCCAAGCAGGTTCTGGAGTGAGAACTGGCAAGAGAGGAGTTGGGGGGTAGGAAGGGTGATAGGTCCTGGGGCAGGGGCCAGATAGGGATGAGACTGTGAGAGCAGGGCAGTGAATTGGAGCTGACAGAGCTAGGAAAGGAAGGCCCTGGAGACAGGGATGGTCCAGAGTGCTTGCGCGAATCCTGTGGCTGCTAGGAGTGAGGGAAGGAAGACTAGAGATGCTCTTTTGCAAGGCAGGGCCATTAGATTTCTGAGGAGGGGGAAGAGGAGGGTAGGGAGCTGGTGGTAGGGATGGTAGTTGGTACAGGGCTCAGGAGGCAGAAGAGGGTAGAGGGAGAGAATTGCTGGAGGCCATAAGCATGGGGTGGAGGTTGCAGCCCAAGGCGTTAGCTGAGGGACAGAAGAAGCCTCAATTTTCAGAAGAGGGGGGAGTGGATTGAGAAGTGAAAGATTGTCACTTGAGAATCATCTTGTTATGAAGGTAGGATAAAGGAGAATGGTGACAAACTCTCTGGGAAATCAGAAATTGAGATGGAGTAGCTGAGTGAGGTGGCGTGTGTCTGTGGCTACTCAGGAGGTTGAGGTAGGAGGACTACTTGAGCCCAGGAGTTCAAGGCATCAGTGAGCTATGATGACACCACTGCACTCCAGCCTGAGTGACACAGCAAGACCCTGTCTCGGGAAAAAAAGAATCTGGGATGGAGGATGAGGCCACAACCTTGGTAAGGGATGGGGCTGGAGGGTGCGACAGTGCCGGGGAAGCGAATGGAGAATAGAGGCTCGGGTTGGAAGATGGGGTTGGGTGTTGAAGGGCGAGACAGGGATGTAGATGGAGCATGTGGGATGCGGGCAGAGATAGGGATGGGAAGCAAATGAGTGTCGTAGTGGATGAAGAAGGGTGTGCTGGGAAGGAGGTTCCAGGATAGGGACGGGGATGGGGATTGACGATGGGCTGAACATGTGGATGAGATTTGGGCAGTCAGTGGCTATTGGTTGGGCAATAGCATTTGCTAAGATGTGAAGGGTTGGAGGGCAGTGTTAATAGATTTATGGGTGCGAAATCTATAATACAGCTTGAAATGGTCGGTAGTTTGTAGGATTGAGAAATAGCAATAGGAGACGGGAGGGACCCCTTTGGACGGGAAGAGCGGGAAGGAGAGTGTGGGATCCTTGCGCTTGGGCGGCTGCAAATACCTGTTTAAGAAGGAAGTAGGTTGGGGACCCCGGAAGGAGGCTCTTGGCGGCCTCCCCCCATTGCCATAGAGACGTGGCTTCGGTTGCCCAGGCAATTGGGGAAGCCCCTAGGACCGGCCTAAAGCTGGCCCCGCCTGGGAGTCTTGACACCAGGCGATTGACGTCAGGGACCTGGGCACGCCCCACTTTAACCCTTTCCCCGAAAGAAGTGGGGGAAGGGAGTAGAGGAGGGGGATAGGACCCGGATGTCTTTCTCCACGCCTCCTTCCTGACGTCCTTTGCACTGCGTAGGGTGAGGGGCGTGGGGGAGAGAGGAAGGCAGGTTGTTCAGGATGCCCTGCGCCCGCAAACCGCTTCAGCCTGGCCTCCTCTCGGCCTGTCTAACGCGGGGCGGGGCCCAGGGCAGGAGAGGCGGGGTTAGCGGATCCCTTCTGCACTCGGGAGCCTGGTCGGCCCCAGGCCACACCCCACCCCCCTGTTGTCCTGACGACAGGGCCTCCCGGAGGTGGGTCTCCCCGGGTCTTGGCTGGTCCTAGATACCGTTGCTAGGCAACACGGTCCTTGGAGGAAGGGGTGGATTGGACGGCTGGTGGGTGAGACCGAGGGAGGGGCCTGCAGCTGGGGAAACCCCGGATTCCCGAGGCGCAGGGTTTAGGGCAAATGTGTGTGAAGGTGAGGGACAAATCTAGGGGAGGGTTATGAAGATATATGGGCAGATATGGAGGGGTTGGGGGATGGAGCAGGCAGTGGGACCAGGACCCGGTGGACTTGAGCCCCGGGGTGTCCGTGTGTAGCACATAAGGCATGTAACACCCTGTGGTGTTATATCCGGTGAGAAGCTCCCTTCCCCCAAGCCTACCCCCCTCTCCCTGCTCTGCCATCTGCTGCTCCCCTCTCTGTCTGGCTGTCTCCCTTCCCGCTTCTCTTACACCTCCTTCCACATGCAGGGGGCCCCGGGCTGGGCAAAGTTAGAGCGGTGCGTATGTACATCTCTGTGTGTGTGTGTGTGTGCGTGCGCCTGTGTGGTGTGGATTGAGGCTGGGTCCTTGAGCAGCTCTCAGGGTGGGGGAGTGGGCTTGGCGGAGCGGCTATGGGGTAGCCACGCTGATGGGACCTCCCTTACGGGCTCCCTCTCGAGTCAAGGCTCAGGAGGCTTTTTGTCTCTTATTTCCCCGAACAGGCCAATTCTCCCCCTGTGATTGTCAACACAGATACCCTAGAAGCCCCAGGATATGTGAGTTGTTTAGATTTTGGGGCTGGGGCCATGGTAGAAGAAAGGAGGGAGTCAGGGAGGGCAGCAGAGGATGGGCAGGTTGTCGGGTGGGAGTGTCTGTCTCACTGCTTTTGTGTTTCTGTCCCGTGCTGGAGTTGCAGGTGAACGGGACCGAGGGGGAGATGGAATACGAGGAGATCACATTGGAAAGGGTGAGCAGGCTCCTCCGTCGGCGGTCCCCTTGGCTCCCCGTCTGTACCTTTCTTTCTGCCCATGTGGTCTGTGTGGTCAGCTCCTCATCCTGTCCCTTCCTGCTCTGGCTGCTGCTCTCCGCCACTCTCCAAGCCATTTCCCACCCCACTTGCTTTGCCAGAATTGGGCAGCGAGGGGAGCTGACCTCTTCCCCTCCTTCACCCAGGGTAACTCAGGTCTGGGCTTCAGCATCGCAGGTGGCACTGACAACCCACACATCGGTGACGATCCGTCCATTTTCATCACCAAGATCATTCCTGGTGGGGCTGCGGCCCAGGATGGCCGCCTCAGGTGGGGAGAGGAGACGGGTCAGGATGCTGGGTCCCTTGAGAGGGAGGGCCAGGGCAGCAGGAAGCCCTTGGCTTAGGCCCATCTTGTTGTTCCCAGGGTCAACGACAGCATCCTGTTTGTAAATGAAGTGGACGTGCGTGAGGTGACCCACTCAGCAGCAGTGGAGGCCCTCAAAGAGGCAGGCTCCATCGTTCGCCTCTATGTCATGCGCCGGAAGCCCCCAGCTGAGAAGGTCATGGAGATCAAGCTCATCAAGGGGCCCAAAGGTAGCAACTCATTTTGTTCCCACCCTCATCCCAACTGTCCTGTGCCCCAAAGCCTGCTTCCTGGGCACCTGGGCACCCACCTCTGGCCTCCCCTCCATCCAGGTCTTGGCTTCAGCATCGCAGGGGGCGTAGGGAACCAGCACATCCCAGGAGATAATAGCATCTATGTAACAAAGATCATCGAAGGGGGTGCTGCCCACAAGGATGGGAGGTTGCAGATCGGAGACAAGATCCTGGCGGTGAGGACACCATCTAGCCCATTTTCTAGCCCAGATCTGGGTCTCACCTACTAGCCCTGGACAGGCCCAAGTTCATCACTGCACCGCAGTGCCTCTGTCTTGGGCCATCTGTGGCTTTGTTTGAGCTTTGCTTTCCTTGACTCCAGGTCAACAGTGTGGGGTTGGAGGACGTCATGCATGAAGATGCTGTGGCAGCCCTGAAGAACACGTATGATGTTGTCTACCTAAAGGTGGCCAAGCCCAGCAATGCCTACCTGAGTGACAGCTATGCTCCCCCAGACATCACAACCTGTGAGAGCCCTTCAAATGCGAAAGCTCCCCATAACCCATACTGTTTAACCCCATGACATGCAGCCCCATGACATCCCGGTAGCTGTCCCTCTTCAGATATTCCCCATGAAATAGCCACAATCGCTGATTCTTGCTGTGGCTGGAGAAGAGATGGAAAAATCAGTTACCATAAAGGAACTGAGAAGATTGTCAACGATCTCTCCCCCAGAAGGCACAAAGCCCAAGTGGTTTGATGACTAATTTTCTGAAATTCTCAAAAGAAAATTATCTAAGATTTCACATTTCATTGCATAAGTCCAGTTCAAATGGTCACAAAGATAACATACAATAAGGAGAGTATAGACCCATTTTGCTTCTAAATAGAGATGCAAAAGTTTGCAATATAGTAGCAAACCAAACATGGCAGCATATTAAGGTAATAACATAGGGTTTGTTTCAGAAAACTAAAGATGGCTCAATATTAAGAAATATCTTAATATGATTCATATATTAAAAAGTCGGCTAGGTAGAGTGGCTCATGCCTGTAATCCCAGCACTTTGGGAGGCCAAGGGGGGCGGATCATGAGTTCAGGAGATCAAGACTATCCTGACCAACATGGTGAAACCCTGTCTCTAATAAATATATATTAAAAAAAATTAGTTGGGCTTGGTGGCGCATGACTGTAGTCCCAGCTACTTGGGGGGCTGAGGCAGGGGAATCGCTTGAACCTGGGAGGCAGAGGTTGTAGTGAACCGAGATTTTGCCATTTTGCCACTGTACTCCAATCTGGCAACAGAGGGAGACTCTATCTCAAAAAAAAAAAAAAAAAAAAAAAGAAAGAAAGAAAAAATTAAGGGAGGCCAGGTGCAGTGGCTCATGCTTGTAATCCCAGCACTTGGGAGGCCAAGGTGTGAGGATCACCTGAGCCTAGGGGTTTGAGACCAGCCTTGGGAACATAGTGAAACCCTGTCTCTACAAAAAATAAAAAATTAGCACGTGCCTATAGTCCTTGGTATTTGGGAGGCTAAGGCTGGAGGACCGCTTGAGCCACGAAGTCGGAAGCTACAGTGAACCAATGATTGTGCCGCTGCCTAGTAGACTGAATGACAGAGCGAGACAAGAAAACGATATGACCATCTCAAATAGATGTGAAAAAGCATTTCGTGAAATTCATCATCTCTTCAATTTTTTTTTCTTGTTATTTTTCTTTTTGAGATGGAGTCTAGCTTTGTCGCCAGGTTGGAGTGCAGTGACACAATCTTGGCTCACTGCAACCTCCGCCTCCTAGGTTTAAGTGATTCTCCTGCCTCAGTCTCCTCAGTAGCTGGGATTACAGGCACGTGCTGCCATGCCCAGCTGATTTTTTTTTTAGTAGAGACAGCGTTTCACTGCGTTGGTCAGGATGGTTTCAATCTCCTGCCCTTGTGATCCACCCGCCTTGGCCTTCCAAATTGCTGGGATTACAGGTGTGAGCCACCGTGCCCGGCCAATTCACCATTTCTTTTGGATGAAAGCTTTTAGTGAACTAGGAACAGAGGAATTTTCCTTAAGATGGTGAAGATTACTTATGAGAAACAATAACAAACATTTTATAATGATAAAATCCTAGCAGTGTGTCCATTAACTTATTTTTTAATTTTAATTTTAATTTTTTTTTTTTTTTTTTGAGACGGAGTTTCGCTCTTGTTACCCAGGCTGGAGTGCAATGGCGCGATCTCGGCTCACCGCAACCTCCGCCTCCTGGGTTCAAGCAATTCTCCTGCCTCAGCCTCCTGAGTAGCTGGGATTACAGGCAAGCGCCACCATGCCCAGCTACTTTTTTGTATTTTTAGTAGAGACGGGGTTTCACCATGTTGACCAGGATGGTCTCGATCTCTCGACCTCGTGATCCACCCGCCTCGGCCTCCCAAAGTGCTGGGATTACAGGCTTGAACCACCGCGCCCGGCCTTAATTTTTTTCTTGAGATGGAGCTTCACTCTTGTTGGCCAGGCTGGAGTGCAGTGGCATGATCTCAGCTCACTGCAAACTCCACCTCCCCGGTTCAAGTGATTCTCCTGCCTCAGCCTCCCGAGTAGCTGGGATTACAGGTGCCACCACGCTGGCTAATTTTTATATCTTTAGTGGAGACGGGGTTTTACCATGTTGGCCAGGCTGGTCTTCAACTCCTCCTGACCTCAGGTGATCTGCCTGCCTCAGCCTCCTGAAGTACTGAGATTACAGGTATGAGCCACCATGCCCAGCCTCCATTAACTTACCAAGAAGACAAGGATGCCTGTTACCACTGCGGTTATTCTTCATTGCTTTAGAGCAAGATTTCTCAATGTTACTCCTGACATTTTTGGCCCCAAAATTCATTGTGGGGGGTTGTCCTGTGCTTTTTGGGATATTTAGCAGCATCCTTGGTCTCTTGTCTATCAGATGACAATGGTACTCCTCCCCCTCAGTCCTAACATTAAAAAATGTTATGACAGAATTGCCCCAGCAAAATTATGGTGGTTGAAAATCACTACGTTAGAGATTTCAGACAGTATAGCAAGAAAAGAAGAATAAATAGTTACACTTGGAAGGAAAGAACAGAAGTTATCTTTATTTGTAAATTATGCTACTTAGAATCTAGATCAAAATCTAAGTGAATTAACTGAAAAACTTAATATGAGAAGTTAAGAATGTGGCTATTTGTTGGCTGGGCAAGGTGGCTTACACCTATAATCCCAGCACTTTGAGAGGCCAAGGTGGTTGGAACACTTGAGGTCAGGAGTTTGAGAACAGCCTGACCAACATGGAGAAACCCTGTCTCTACTAAAGAAAAAAAAAATTAGCTGGGTGTACCTGTAATCCCAGCTAATCCTGAGGCTGAGGTGGGAGAATCACTTGACCCTGGGAAGCAGAAGTTAAAGTGAGCTGAGATTGAGCCACTGCACTCCAGCCTGGGAGGTAGTGAGATTCCAGCTCAAAAAAAAAAAAAAAAAAAAAAAAAAAAAAGGGGATGTGGCTATTTGTAAGGTAAATAACAGGAATTAGTAACTTCCCAGCAGTAGGAAGATGTAGGGGGTAAAAAGACCCCTTTTGCCGTAGAAACATTGCTATAAAATGATTAGAAATAGAAACTTGACAAGAAATGTAAGATTCATGTGAAGAAAATGATACAACTTTATTGAAGGACGTAAGAATGGAAGGGTGGAGAGTCACGCCGTGTTTCTGGATGGAAAAACTTCATATGCTAAAGATCTCAGCCGGCTCCAAATTAATCTATACATAACATTCAATCCTAATCCGAATTTTAATGTTGTTTCCCCGCTGGGAACTTGGAAGCTTGATACTAAAGTCTGACTGGAAAAATTTGTGTGGGGGAAGAACTAAGACATTTTGGAAAAGAATAATGAGGTATGGCGGCCCCTACAAAATATGAAATAATACTGTAAAACCATATTGAAATCACATGGTCCTATTCCTAAATACCATAACCTACCAAAAATAACCTGGGCTCCTTGGAAGAAGGGTCAATTTAAAATCTTTGGCAACAAATGTATATGATGAGCTTCTAACTTCTTTCATACTAGAGAGCAAGGAAGGTATCCAAGACTACTAGGGTCTCAGCAAAGACAGGAGCCAAACTGAAGGGGCTCCTACTGGCCAGTCAATGAAACTCATTAAATATATTAAAATCTTGGCTGGGCGAAGTAGCTCGAGCCTGTAATCCCAGTACTTTAGGAGGCTGAGGTGAGTGGATGATGTCAGGAGATGGAGACCATCCTGGCTAACATGGTGAAACCCTATCTCTACTAAAAATACAAAAAGTAGCCAGGTGTGGTGGTACTCGCCTGCAGTCCCAGCTACTCAGGAGGCTGAGGCGGGAGGATCATTTGATCCCAGGAGAGGGAGATTGCAGTGAGCCGAGATTGTGCCACTGCACTCCAGCCTGGGTGACAGAATGAGACTCTGTCTCAAGAGAAAAAAAAATCTTTAAGGTCATAATAATACTTAAAAATATTTTGGAGGATGCTAGGCAATCTCATTCATTCTGAAATTGGTGAATAAAGGGAGAGAGACATGCAGAGAGATAAGCACTTATCCTCCCTTTTGTGTGCAGACTACCTCAGAGAGTAGCCAAGAGGTTGACATAGGGCTGTTCTTTTGTTATTCTTGGAGGCAGATCTTGCTTTGTCGCCCAGCAGGCTGGAGTGCAGTAGTGCGATGTTGGCTCACTGCAACTTCCGCCTCCTGGGCTCAAGCGATCCTCCCACCTCAGCCTCCTGAGTAGCTGGGATTACAGGCGAATGCTATCATGCTCAGCTAGCTTTTGTATTTTGTAGAGATAGGGTTTCACCATGTTACCCAAGCTGGAGGATTTTTTTTTTTTTTTTTTGAGAGGGAGTCTGGGTCTGTCGCCCAGGCTGGAGTGAAGTGGCACAATCTTGGCTCATTGCAACCTCCGCCTCCTGAGTTCAAGCAATTCTCCTGCCTCAGCCTCCCGAGTACCTGGAATTACAGATATGAGCTGCCATGCCCAGCCAATTTTTGTATGTTTAGTAGAGATGGGATTTCACCATGTTGGCCAGGCTGCTCTCAAACTCTTGACCCCAAGTGATCTGCCTGCCTTCGTCTCCAGAGTGCTGGGATTACAGGCATGAGCCATTGTGCCTGGCCTCAATTTATTTTTACAGAAGAATTCCCACTAATAAATGCTCCTTGTTCCAAAGAAACAAAGTAGTAGAATACCACCATTTCCCAGTTCCTGGTACATACCAAAACCAGGAGGTGATTGTCAGTGCGGCTAAAACTTACCTGAGAGGCTGACGGGGCACTGTATAATGGATGGACTGCCCCTGAACCTGCCATTAATCTTATCTGACAGAACAACAACCAGACGTTATTGCATCCTGTGGTGATGCCGTAGAAAGAACAGAGCATTACCTATGAAGTATACAGGACTTACTAAAAAAAATTCTGAATTGAACTTGAAACTAATCAAGTTCAATTGAATGAACTGCCAGTTTACAGGAGATGAACTGCCAGTTTACAGGAGATACAGGGGCAGAGGCATAGGCTAAACCACATCACAGGAGGGTAAGCAGTACTTTCCCTGTTAGAATTTCCCCTATAGGCTGGTTGAGGTGGCTGATTCCTATAATCCCAGCACTTTGGGAGGCTGAGGTGGGTGGATCATTCGAGGTCAGGAGTTCGAGACCAGCCTGGCCAACATGGTGAAACCCCGTCTCTACTAAAAATACAAAAATTAGCTGGGTGTGCTCCTGTAATCCCAGCTACTTGGGAGGCTGAGGCATGAGCATTGCTTGAACCCAGGAGGCAGAGGCGGCAGTGAGCTGAGATGGAACCACTGCACACCAGCCTGGGTGACTCCTTCTAAAAAAAAAAAAATTTTCCTCATAGCACATGGGAAATTCTTTTAGATAAATGACCTAGTTTTTTCAACAAATGGATGGCAAGTGGGGGAAAAAAGAGGGAGAAGAATTTTATGGATTAAGAGATTTGAGAGACACAGAAACCAAAAGTAAACCCCAAAGCATGGTGTTAATGTTCCTCTTTGACTTCCCCATCCCTGGCACACTGAGGACATATCATGTTCAAATCCTTTATCCGCTAGGACAATCAGCCTCTGATGTCACCTGTAAATTCCTGACCCCTGACGTCGCTGATCTGATATCCCCTTCTACCCCACCCTGGCGTCTCTGGCAGAATACCTCCCTTCCTCCTGACTGTCGCTCCCTCGGCCCCCTGGGGAGAAGGTTGGGTGGCAGGTGCTGTTTCCCTCCAGGCACTTTCATCTCCACCTCATGTCTTCCTCAGCTTATTCCCAGCACCTGGACAATGAGATCAGTCACAGCAGCTACCTGGGCACCGACTACCCCACAGCCATGACCCCCACTTCCCCTCGGCGCTACTCCCCAGTGGCCAAAGACTTGCTCGGGGAGGAGGACATTCCCCGAGAACCGAGGCGAATCGTGATCCACCGGGGCTCCACGGGCCTAGGCTTCAATATCGTGGGTGGCGAGGACGGCGAAGGCATCTTCATCTCCTTTATTCTGGCCGGGGGCCCTGCAGACCTCAGTGGGGAGCTGCGGAAGGGGGACCAGATCCTGTCGGTAAGGAAAGGCCTGTCCCTCCCTGCACCACCCCGTCCCCTCCCTGCACCATCCCATCCCCATCCCTGCACCACCCCTTCTCCTCAGGGCACAGCCCAGAGCTCCTGGGGAGGGGTGTGGGTGAGCTGCAGCCTGGTCCTTTTGTGGGATCACTCCCTGCACCACCTGGACCCAGAATTGTTGGCTCCTGTCTCTGGTGACACAGCCTCTCCTCTTTCTAGGTCAATGGTGTTGACCTCCGAAACGCCAGCCATGAGCAGGCCGCAATTGCCCTGAAGAATGCGGGTCAGACGGTCACGATCATCGCTCAGTATAAACCAGAAGGTACCAGGCCGGAAGCTCCTTGTCTTGGGAGCTAAAATGGCCCTTAGGACTCTGCCTACTCAGCCGATGGCTTCCGTGGGGGTGGAGAGGGTGGCAGTAGGATGGGGACAGAGCTCAGGAACCTCGCTGTCCTTCCTCAGAGTACAGCCGATTTGAGGCCAAGATCCACGACCTTCGGGAGCAGCTCATGAACAGCAGCCTGGGCTCAGGGACGGCCTCCCTGCGGAGCAACCCCAAGAGGGGTTTCTACATCAGGTCAGAGGCTCCCCATGCCGGGCTTGTCAGCCTCTCCGAGTTCCTGGGCACTCTGTGTTCAGCCACTCCTCCTCTCCACCCTGCCTGCTCTAGCTTTCACCCCAGGCCTGACGTGCAGCCGGGGTTCATGGGCTTGGTTGCACAGCTTAACATTTGAAAGACTCCCTGTCGATGGGAAAATAGCCTCTGCCCCAAGTATCCCAGTTGCCTTCTAGTCCCGGCCATTGCAGCACTTCCCCGGGATTCCCAGACCACCCCACAGTTTGGCCCTTCGAAGGTTAATGCGTGGGGGGACAGAGGTCCTCTAGGGGATTTGGAGTGTTGCCCCAGCCCTCACATCCTCGTGGGCAGTCCTGGAGAGGTGGGCTGAAACTCTGTTGTGCCTGCCTCCTGTCTCTCCAGTGGGATTTTGACCCCCTCTTAGGGCTCCTCTCCATTGCCTTTTTTTTTTTTTTTTGAGATGGAGTCTCTAGCCCCTGTTGCCCAGGTTGGAGTGCAGTGGTGCCATCTTGGCTCACTGCAACCTCTGCCTCTTGGGTTCAAGTGATTCTCCCACCTCAGCCTCCCGAGTAGCTAAGACTACAGACACGCGCCACCACACCCAGCTATTTGTTTTGTATTTTTAGTAGAGACAGGGTTTCACCATGTTAGCCAGAATGGTCTCGATCTCCTAACCTTGTGATCTGCCTGCCTTGGCCTCTCGAAGTGTTGGGATTACAGGCGCGAGCCCCCGATTCCGGCCTCCATTGACTCTTTGTGGCTTAGGCCCCTCCTGCCCCCACACGTCCCCCTCCCATCTGCCTCCTCTTCTCTCCCTCTCTGGTCCTGTGGCTCTCGTGGCCCTCATCTCTTGCCCCGATCTGCAGATGTCTCTCGGAGCTGTCGGCCCTGGCTGAACTCTTTCCAGAGGTCGAGACCTGCACTTCTGGCCCTCTGCTTTTTGGCCATCTCTACTGGGATGTCCCACAGGCATCCCACACTCAACAGGTCCCCCGCTGAGCTCATTGTCCTGCTGTGGACCCGTTCCATCTTGCTGCATCAGCAGTTTCCCTCTTGCCGAGTGGCATCTCCGGTCACCTGGACGCCAGCTCACACCTGAGCCCTTGCTCTGCCCTTTCTCCGTGCTCGGCTCCAGGTGTTCCCCAAAGTTCTTCTGACTCCCAGTAACCACAGAGATTGTGTGGCAGCTCCCAGGGGGAATGTCTTCTGGTTGTCAGACTCCCAGGGGGCCCGGGGTCTCTTCCCTCCCCTCCAAGTCCATTGCTTTCCTCCGGATCTTCATTCCTTCTCTAGTTTCTGACGCCAGGAGTTGTGACTTACTGATAGGGATTTGATACTAGCAAGGGTAACCATGATTTGCAGACACAGGAACCTTCTTTTTCTTCTTTTTTTTTTTGAGACGGAGTGTCGCTCTTGTTACCCAGGCTGGAGTGCAATGGCGCGATCTCGGCTCACCGCAACCTCCGCCTCCTGGGTTCAGACAATTCTCCTGCCTCAGCCTCCTGAGTAGCTGGGATTACAGGCACGCGCCACCGTGCCCAGCTCATTTTTTTGTATTTTTAGTAGAGACGGGGTTTCACCATGTTGACCAGGATGGTCTCGATCCCTTGACCTCGTGATCCACCCGCCTCAGCCTCCCAAAGTGCTGGGATTACAGGCTTGAGCCACCCCGCCCGGCCCTTTTTCTTATTAATTTGGATAGATTCAAGGTTACCCCTGCTTTATGACAGTTTGCACATGTACTGCAAACTGTTTTCTTGAGAGGGTGGAGTTCCAGCTCTCCCTCTGGAAACTGTACTCAGTGTGGGCTGAATGATGGTTAATAGTTGTGGTGATTACGATTACAGTCAGCGTTTGGCCCCCACACAGTTTTGGGTTTCTCAGCCCCTATTGTGGCCATGGGAGTGCCATCCACAGATCTCTGGGCTGGGTCTCAGGATGACTGATGCAACCTTCCTGGGGTCCTCAGCCCGGCTCTGACCAGTAGCCACTTGCCCCCCAGGGCCCTGTTTGATTACGACAAGACCAAGGACTGCGGCTTCCTCAGCCAGGCCCTGAGCTTCCGCTTTGGGGACGTGCTGCATGTCATCGATGCTAGCGATGAGGAGTGGTGGCAGGCGCGGCGGGTCCACTCTGACAGTGAGACCGATGACATTGGCTTCATCCCCAGCAAACGGCGGTGAGGCTCTGGGCTCCGTGGCCTTCCCGCCACAGGCACTGAAATTCCCAAGGTCCCCCAGGGTGGACAGCCATCTGGGGGTGGGTTTGCCCTCTGACCTCCTAGGGGTTTGTCTGTTGGGCCCTTCTGGGGATTGTGGCTCCCAGGAGCCTTTGGGAAGGACAGCTCCTCATTGAGGAGCACAGGGCCCAGGGCTGTGGGAGAAGGGGTTATCAGTCAGTCCCGAGCAAGCGTGGAGAAGGGGTTGCCAGCCAGCCTGGAGCCTGGGGGCAGCAGGGTTCCTCACTGGGCATTTCCCTACCCACCTTTCCCTTCATGTATCCCACAGGGTTGAGCGACGAGAGTGGTCAAGGTTAAAGGCCAAGGTAGGCGGTGGAGAGGTGAGCCTGGGTGGAAGCGTGAGGGCTCATGGAGCTGAGCTCATAGCTAACCCCGTGGCCGCCTGCTTTTTCTTTCTAGGACTGGGGCTCCAGCTCTGGATCACAGGGTAGGTAGGGTCAGTTCGAGAGGATGTGGGTAAGAGGCATACTGAGCTGCCTTTGATATCCTCAAGGGGGAGACAGGGCCCCAGGTCCCCTGTTTCAGAGCCCCTTGCAGACGCCCCGCTTCCCCACAGGTCGAGAAGACTCGGTTCTGAGCTACGAGACAGTGACGCAGATGGAAGGTGAGCCCTGGCCCCTGTCTTGGTCCCCACTCCTGCTGCTGCCCCAACTCTGTCCTTGGCCTAAGCCAGGCTCTATCTCCGCAGTGCACTATGCTCGCCCCATCATCATCCTTGGGCCCACCAAGGACCGCGCCAATGATGATCTTCTCTCTGAGTTCCCCGACAAGTTTGGATCCTGTGTTCCCCGTGAGTGCTGGGGCTTTGGATGGAGGTGGAGGTGGAAGTGGAGGTGGGTGGAGGAGGCCCATCCCTGCAGCCATAGGCAGAGCTCCCTGGGGGGTTGGTGTGCTGGGGGACACGGTTTCTCCAAGAAGGAGTGCTTCTCAGCCGCCCTCACATTCCCCAGTACCCATGCCCAGACCAGAGACTTGGAGGCCCTGGAGCGTGCTGGGCGAAGCGGTCCTACCCCTCTGCAGTCTTGGTCTCCCTGGCAGTGCCCTTTCATCAAATGACCAGCTGGGCCCTAGGGGGATTTGATTGATGGAGGCTGGTTTTAAGCTAGAGGAATGGGGGTTAGATCTTTGGGGGGTGGGGTGACTTCCTGGCAGATACGACACGGCCCAAGCGGGAGTATGAGATAGATGGCCGGGATTACCACTTTGTGTCGTCCCGGGAGAAAATGGAGAAGGACATTCAGGCACACAAGTTCATTGAGGCCGGCCAGTACAACAGCCACCTCTATGGGACCAGCGTCCAGTCCGTGCGAGAGGTGGCAGAGCAGGTAGGACCTGGCGGGCACCTGGTCCTCTTCCTCCTCCCCTCTCCCCACCCCATTGCCTCCCTCCAGCTCTCTCTAACTCTCTCTCTCTCTCTGTCTCTTTCCCTGCTGGGTCTCGATTCCACTCCTCCACCTCCTTCTCCTCTTGGGCAACTCTGTCTGACCGCCTGCTCTCTGCCCCTGCTCTCTCTCCCACCTGCCTCGCTTCCTGACCCCAAACTCCCCACCACCATCTGGCCTCTTTCTCTCCCCACTCCCTCCTCCTTGCCCCATTTCTCCTCTTCCTGTGGCCTTGTTTTTGGTGGCTTGGCCTTCCCCACTGGGTCCCTCCCTTTTCCCTGACTCCCCTCTGGCCCGTTCCCCTGCCTCACCCTTTCCTGGGGCCCCACTCCCCTCTCTCACTCCTCTGCTAACTCCTTTCCCTTCCCTGATGCTCCCCACCCTGCCCGCCCTCCCTCCACGGCTCCTCTCTCCATCTGCCTCCCTCCCTTCCATCTGTCTCCTTGTTCCTTCCATCTGTCTGTCCTTTGTCCGTCCTCCCCTCCCTCCTCCCTCTATCCTACTTCCTTTCTCCTTTTTCTTGGCTTTCCTTCCTGCCGGTGTCACCTCTGCCTTGTGCACACCGCCCCATGTGCTGCTGCCCTGGCTCTGACACCCTCTCTTGGGTCCCTGCCTGTCTGGTGCTCCTCCCTTTCTCCATCTT